ACTCTTACATAAGCAAGAGAAGTATTTGCAAAGCTTAGCAGATTTTTCAATTTTTACCATGCGGAGTAGAGGAAAATAAATTATTTCAAGAATTTTTACTTGCAGTGAATACCTTCTAAGGCTATCTCTTGAAAGAAAAATAAATCCTTCCAGATAATTTCCTTGTAGAACTAGCTTATCTTTATAATTATCTCCAAATAGACAATATACACCTTTCTTTTTTGATTGGCTGAGAAAACTTTATGTTTGCCTCTGGTAACCTATGTTAATGAGAAAAAATCAGTCCCCTAAGTAAATTATTTTTTTCAGAAAGCTGGTTTTCTACTCCCTCTCTGTAAGTGCAGTGATCAATGTGATTGATTCCTGAACCCTTCTTCTACCTAAGGTAATTGATTGAGGTAAGCAAATCATAGTCACCCCAGCCCCCTGTCCAATCTAAAAACTAGACTTGACATGTTCCTGGCCAATGAGACGTGAGGGAGGGTTCTGTGAAACATTTCTGTGATCCTAAGAAAGAGACACAATAAGTGATTTGTCTTTTATCCCTTTATATTTCCTTGTCTGGATGTGACTCATGAAACTGTTGCAGCCATCTTCCTACCAACCTGAGGATAATGCCAACACCGAGAATGGCAGACAGAAGAGACAGAAAGAGCTGAGTCCTTGATATGATCCTTAAGCAGATGATATTACCACCTCTGTGGGCACCCAAACCCTGGAGATTATTCTTACTGTATAATATAATAATAATAATTTCCTTATTTTTTACCAGTCCAAGATAGGTGTCTTTTATTCTAAGCTGACAGCATATTAATTGATTAGAGTAATATATTGATCTCACATCCAAGAGAGGAAAAGATAACAAAATCAGCAATTCAAAAAACTTGAAGAAATCCATTATTTAGTGTTTATGTGTAAGACACTGTACTATCTGCTAAAGCAGAATCAGAAGTGCATGAAAAGTAGTCCTACCATTCAAGGAGTGTGTAATTTGCATGGAAGATATATTTACACAAATGAATAATGGTAATTTACTAGATAGGGCATCTGACATTGGTATTAAACACCAATGCGCCTTAGAAAACACAAAAAATAGTTATGTCTCCTAAGGACGAGAAAGCCTTGGAGAGCAAAAGGCAATAAAAGAGTAAAATTAGATAAGTGCCTTCAGAATTAGGAGTGAGATGAGCAAGAAAGTAAACGGCAATTTCAGAAAGCTTTAGCAAAGGCACAAAATTTGAAAGAAAATTATTTCGACAAGTTCTAGTAGGGCAGCTTCAGTAAAAGAATGAGAGAGAGAGAGAGAGAAGCAGAAAGTAAAGTGCAAGTGAGGGAACAATGAACAGTGGATAAAAATGAAACTGGAACTGGACACAGGGTGGAAATGGGTTGGGAAGAGCCTTCGAAGTCAACAGAAATCTGGAATTCGTTAAATTTCCTCGTAAATCAAGAACACCAGAAGTGTATAAACAGAGATGAAATGCGATCAGATGTTTATTTTTTTTAAGAGATAACACTGATGGTCATGGTGAATGAAACAGATATGGAAAAAATGGAGATTCTCTTTTATAAGATAAACCCAGTTGAATAATAGTATTATGACTTATGCTAGAGGAAACTATTGAAATGTTTGCCACCTTATCAGGCTGGACTGTCAGCTGAAGCTTTTGTGGGAACTGCATCACAGTTCTCCCTTTGTCTGATACAACTTCCCTAGCGACCCTCTCACATGAGTTGACCCCAAGCATAAGAACACTATCTTACAAACATCCTGTAAACTATTCTTCATCTCATAGTTGGCTTCTGAGGGAATTCAACCTACAATACAACTGTCAGGAGAGGTAATTACAGTTCTAGATCCTGTCCTTCCCTCGGAATGTGTTCACTTCAGGCTGGTTCTAATTGCTCCATTTGGTCTAGTGTTGGGGAAAGAGAATGTCGAAACAATGTCCACATCTGTCCCAGACCTGTCCCGGAGATGAATCCACAGGGTATTCCCTAACTGAAGAGAGGCCTTACGGGCCAACTTCGGAAAAGCCTACTTAAATTGTGAGGTATCACATCCCCATGAGGTGCTTATACTTGCCCTTTAGTCTATTAAGTCTCTCTAGAAATACAGACTATAGAAACAGTCCTTCCTCTTAAAAAAAAAAAAAGATCAGAATCTTATCCCTCTTATCCAAATGTCAGAGAGTTAAAACAAAACAAAACAAATCAGCTCAGTCTACTTAATTTTTATATTCTAGAGATTAGAAATGCCCTGAAAGGTCTAATTTTGACTTTCTTCCTCTACAGTTAATACTCATCAAAGTCTATTGAGCATATACCTGCACCATTCATTGTACTAGACTCAAAATCTAGTCTAAACGGACTAAAAATAATAAGAAGGGTATTACCAAATATTTATTAATGATTTAGTTTTGTAAATGATTTTCCTATAATTTCTGGTGATTCCACACTAAAGGCCTGCAGCAAATATGAAATGGTCATGGCTATTTCTCAATAGGCATAGCTTTGTATAAAAACTTCAAGTAAACATATATCCTAAATTTTGATACTTCACTAGAATATTTTCAATAAATTTTTTAAAAATTTTCCAGAGGAGAAAATTCCCAATCAGTCACTCATAACTCAGTTATGTGTTGTACATTGCTTTAACTCTAAAGAGTACAAAGGACATGCTTCAGCCCCCTAGAGTCCCAACATGTGTAGTTTCTTCCACAGAAGAGTTTGGATTTTTGCCGAAGGGCGTTGAGCCAGTGCAAACCACGTAGGTCTGAATACTGCTAAAATACTAAATCTTGACACTTACTTGCCACTATAGAGTACCTTTTAGCACTGGAGTGACTTATATAAATTTTAAATGCAGATACCTACATAAACATAAATTCTTACCTTTGCATACATAACACCTTTATGAATTTCATAGTTTATAAAGATAAAGAAAAATCATCTAGGCAGCAAAAATCACAGTACAGGCTCTAATTTTATAGTGTGTTCAAATAACGGTTTATTTCACTAACATCATAAGGGAAAGTAAAATTTCATAACATTTATTTTATTAAATATTAGCACATTTAAGCATGGAATATGGCCAAAGAGAGATTTGCTTAAAATAGTCACAGAAGGAAGTTACGCTATCAGAATTTATTTTAAGCAATGATCTAATACACTTGGTTCAGATAAATGGACTTTTTCTTCCAACGCCTGAAGGCAGAAACAACACAAGAACAAATTCCCTTAAAAGTATGAACTGCTTTTTGCTACTGTACTAAAACAGATATATTTCGAAAAATGCTTTGTTAGCCATGTATCTCTTAAAGCAAAAGTGCAAAGCTGACAAAGATTTTCTTTGCCCTCTTTCATAAAAATAGTCATCCCCTGCTAAGATATTTACTGATGATTGAGACATTAGTTGATAACATCAATAGACTCTCCTAGGAGTAGGAGCACTTTTTAAGAAATTCCTAAGGAAAAAATACACCCTTAAGAATAAATGGAACAGGGCTAGAATGGCAGAATGGAGGGTAAGCTTTTCAAATTCTAGCACATAATCAACTGCTTATTTCACCTTACTGTAAACAATATCCAGACAATAGAATAATTATAATTTCTTTCAAATAAGATAACTTTATAAGCTTGTAAGTATTTTGGGGATTTAACACAAGTCGAGAACAACCACTGGCAATATTTTAGCTCTGATTCCTTCTTCTGGGAACACAGACTACATGAAATGCAAGTATATACATTTGCATTCAAAGATTATTTCTTATGAGGTCTGAAGACTCATAAGAAACAACTACTTTTCTTTTGGTGAACTTTAGTGAAAAATGTGTGGAAGAACTACTTCAAACTTACATGACTAAAAAGCAAAAACCATTGTTTCTAATGAAGGTGTAATTAGGCAATATTAACACATATGGAGATAAATATTTTGCCTATGTAGACTAAAGCCCTGAGTGCTGATAATATTCAAATAACTTAGCAACTGATATTTAGTTATTAAAGGCATCTCAAAATTAGAAGGTTAAGTTAAAGTGGTCATTGTAGATGAACGCTATGTGGAAGCTTCAAGGTCCTAATAGGATCTAGAAACAACTCTTTTTGAATGGGAAGAAGCATCTACTAATTGAATATTGGGAACTATTGACCTAAAACCTTGCAATGGCTCCTAGTATTTCTTTGGCAATACTTCTGAAAAAGAAGAAAAAGAAAACCCAATTAAAGATGCCTAATAGATGCAGAATATGTCATCTATTATGTCTTCTTATCAGTCATTCAATCCCTTCTAGTCTTGGCACTCATCTTGCTTGCATAGATATTGATATTTGCTGAAGAACTAGCTAAGAATAATTGACAAGGCCTAAGGTGTGGCACCCTTTCCCTTGGGTATTGTGGTCCTAGTTGAAAATGTAGGCTACAGCAGGAGTTGCTTTTTGTGTTTTGAATAACTAGTATATATTTCCTTCTAGTAGTAAGATTATGAGCCCACGGTTGGGACATCATTAATCTTCACTATCTGAGTGTGACTGGGCCATAGGAGAAACCTGTTCAGATATAAAATGAGAGTGTGGAGAAAACAGCGCAATGTTAAAATGCTACCATAGTCACACTATCAATTGACAGTATGTTTGTTAATTGAAAGTTAATAAAAATTTTAATTTTACAATAATTGTTACAGATATAAATGCTAAGCCTTGATGAATACTTCATTTCCCAGCTCTTCAATTCAAAACTTTGCATTTCTATGGAGTAATATAGTATCCATTTATTTTTCATGACTTTAATTCATGTTTTCAAAAGTTTTAGTATTATACTCATTCACTCTTAACAAAGAACATGTATATGTACTTTAATCCATAAAAATCCAAAACATGTCAGAGGCAATATGTTCTTTCAATATTTTTTTGACATGTATTTGACATTGAGTCACTTAACACAAAAGAGAAGGGTATAGATGAAATAAATGCATCCAGTCAACTATATATAAATAAACTGACCTTCTTAAAATTTTTGTTTAAGTCAACCAGACTGAGCAGGAAGATGTGGTCCTTGGCTCCCAGAAGCAGCCTGCCCCTCTCCTCATCTAACAGAATAGTTTGGAAATCCAGTCCTTCTGATGAACCCAAAAAGGGAATACAGCTATTTGAAAGTAGCAAGTCTATGGGAAAATGAAAGAAAAAATTCTTAATAAGCAAAATATTTATTTGCCTCAACACATACATTGTCTTACTATGTAAATACATATATACAGCATGAAAACTCCAATTAGATATATGCATATAATATACAGTTTTTAGCACATTCTCATTTAGAAATACACATAATTTATCATATTTGTGGATACAATATTTATCTTACATATGAACAAATGAATGATATTAAAATAAATATAAAATGTTAATTCAAAAGCAAATAAATGCAAAATATTTCACAACCTGTATTCATCATAAAGTTATAAATTAAAGCATCTACCTATGGTAATACTTTCAAACTGATTAAATTAATCAATATATGCAAAATAAGCATCAAACCAAGTGTGTGATAAATCTCATAGCATTTCTTCCCCTCCTACTTTTGATAGTGTTTAGACTGATGCCCTTGTTTGGAGGATTACACTGTGCTTACTTCATATATTCAGGAAGATGTAGACAAAGAGGCTGAAGCCAAGAAAATGGATTCTGAAAGAGATATGATCCTGAACCAGTAATAGAATCAGAACTGTGAAGTGGGAAGGGACCCTGAAAATCAATTAATGCAAATTCATGATTTTACAAAGGAAGTTACTTAATTCCAGCAAGGTGAAGTCACATGCCCTAAAGTCACAAAAGCATGTGGTGGCAGAGCTGATAATATAACCTTAGTCCCAGTCTCCCCTTCTCTTTGACACTTGTCTGTAGATGCTAATTCTTTGTTTCATTTATAACTATGACATGGACGGACTCCTATTTAAATTTAGGTCTGGGTTTACAGGAACCCATATCTTTTCAATAGATTTTATCCCAAGTACTTATCATACTCTCTCATTTCTACAACCCTAGAGTAATAAATACCAATAAGGTAATAATATCACTCATCATGTATTAAAGTCCACTGTATGTTACCAGACTTTGAAATTAAATCATTATTTTCAAGCAATTCATTATTAATTGATGAGAAAGATAAAAAGAGATAATGTCTCAGAAACAGGCATCAAGAAACTTCTAAAATGTATCCTGGCGGTTTTCAACCTCTGTAAAATGGATATTTGAGTCCCTTAAATTTAAAGCCTATATATTCCATCCATCAAGTGTGAACTTTATTATTATTTCATATTTTTGAAAATTCCTTTCACTCTTTTTTCTAACTTACAATGGTTAAACATTATTTCCCTTAGTAACTTACACAGATTTTTGTCTTAGTTTTGACAAACCAAAAGGCTGTACGCTGAAAAAGACAGAATACTATCTGTCTTTGAGAGTACTATCTCAAATGAGTGTGGCTTTACTAAACATAAATGTCTTATTAATATTTATGAATCATGCCTTATGTACATAAGATGGAAGTCTGAACTCTATACTAATTATTTTTCTATTAAGCTAAACATAATTTTAATAGTTTTTCAGACCAGAGACAGAATGGAATAATAGATTTTAGCATCTCCCAATGCAGTAAGCCTATTTTTGCAGGGCTAATATCCAATAAACATTCCATACTGGTTTTAAAGTAGAACTGAGGAGAGAAGAATGGAACCGACAGAACAGATAAGACAGATATAACCTAAATCCTTAACAAGAGAAAATGTTTCACACAAACTTTTATTCATTCAGGCGATTCTATATCTTCCATAGGATTTCTTCTTGTTTAAACAAAGAACAAAATAGGCAAAATGGAAAGTATATAAGGGGATTTCCAAGAGTATATCTTGACCCAACTAATAGAGGAAAGTAGGGTATATGATATAAATCCTTATTATTTCAAGTGCTCATAGATAATAATCAACTACTTTGAACCATGCTTTGCAATGTTAATTACAAAATGAAACCAGTCTTAGCCTAATGAGTGAGAGTGTGAGCTTTACATCCACACCACGTGGGTCATATCCTAGCCTCATAACTCTAGCTGTGTGATCTAAGGCAAGAAACTTAACTTCTCTGTGCCTTAGTTTTCCCATCTATAAAATGGGGATAAAAATAGAAACTATGTAATAAATCATGTAAGTGTGAGGAATAAATGAGTTCATATATGATCAGCATTAAAATAGTGTCTGGCACACAGTAAGTGCTATGTAACTATCAACTATTATAACGATGATGATGTATTTTTTAAACTCTATACAAAATCTATAAAAAGGAAGTCATAGTATTTCTCAACTCATGATTAAAGGTGGTAATTTACATAAAGTTCTTGGAACAATGCCTTGAATGTAGAAAAAGTTCAATAAATACTAATTATTATTTTGAATATGATTATTAAACTCTGAGTTGATCTAAATAAGTTCTATTAAAGAAAAATATTGTCTCATCTTTCATTAAATCTGACTTATGAAAATTAGAACGTGTGTATTATTTTATAATGTTGGAATAATATTAAAAAGCTATTCAGTCCACAAATGTTTATAAGCACCTACTACGAGTTAAGTATTGAGCATGTAATTAAGGTTGTGGGATGAGTAGGCCCTGCCTTCAAGTGGCTTACAGGTCAATGTGCAAATAGATCTGTAAATAAAACACAACATAGGTGAAATAAATTCTCATCTAAGTATACACAAAAGGTTAACAAACCTTTCAAGTAATTAATCGTTCATCACCTTACAAAAGGAGGTTATAAATGAGAACAGTCTTGAAGGACAGATAGAAGATTTATAGGAAAGAGACAAATAACAGCTTATTCCAGGCAGAAGAACACTAAAATATACAAGGACAGATATCACCGTATGTTGCACTCACACATGGCATTTTTAGTACGTCTCCTACTCTGGAGTGAGACCTCCTTAAGGACAAAGACTATGTCTTATTATCTTTGAATCCCCAGCACCTACATAGCTCAGAGTCTGAGATAAATTAAGTACTTAACAGATATTTGTGGAATTGAAGTATTCGGCATACTGGAACATAGAGAATATGTGGGGGCACTGAGAAGTGAGGCTGGACGTAAAGGCAACCTCCAGATAATCAGTGCCTGAGACGGCAGGCTGGAGAGTTTGGTTAATACATAGGTAATGGGAAGCCACTAAAAGGTTTTATGCAGGAAAGTGATTAAGACTACAAGTGAGTGTTAGAAAAATAAGTCTGGCTGCAGTGTTGAGGATGGATGAGAAAGGGAAAGGCAGGGGCAGGGAGACTACCCAGCAGTCTCTAAAAGATGGTGAATTATGGCAATGCCAAGAGGAGGAGGGAGATGTTTAAGGATCTTGCAACTCATTTTTTGTTTCTACTTACACAGTGAGTAAAATAAATACAAATTTGACATAGTCATTTGTTTTATTTTCTTTTACCATAACCACTTCTACTGGGTTTAGCTTCAAACAAATTTGACAAGGAAAAACAGCTGCAAAAATAGTGACTAACCTGAAGTATTATCATTTCAGAATGATCTAATGTTGGCTGTGACAATGTTAGCATCAAAACAAAGTATGCTTCATCAATCCTTTGAAGCCAAACTAAATAATTAGACTTAGGCATTACATATGAAAATTTCTTGGGCTGATGCACACATTTTGAAAAGACCTTGGGACTGGGATTGGAACAGGTTTCCTCTTCCCCAAGCAGCTTATCTTTCTTGCATTTCTGCCAAACCAAGCAAAGTCAATTTTGTTTCCACGAGATCATCAACTAAAGCCCAGGAAGAAAAGTTAAATCCAGAGCCTGCACCTTAACACCTATGGCTAACACACTCCCAGGACCTCAGGAATCAGAGATGCATTCTGGCTCCACAGGCTACAAACTCATGAACCTTAATGACTAATAACTGACAATATATTTGAGAGCTTTATTTTTTCTTCTCCTAAACTGACAAGTCTCAGGCACGTGATTTTTAAGATTATCCAAAGTTTACGATCCTTTTGAACAGGACCTCTATCTCTTTTCCCCCCTTGGTTGGTGGGGTGAGTGTTACTCCACACATGCCATTCAGAGGAGGCCTGCTCTGTAGGTCCTTAACCAGCCCCACCTTCCCTCACATGACCGCAGCATTTACCTCTAGGTCCTAAATGTATTCTTTGTTCTTTCTGCCAAACCTCTGACCTAATCCACACTATCACTCTTTCGAACCATTCTTTTTAGCAATTCATCATCCTACCACCTCTTTCTCGGTTTATAATCTGACTCAATCATCCAGGCCCTCAAATTCCTGCTCTCATTCTAGCAATATACTCTTGGAAGATCTACAAGCTAATTACTTCTGAAATAAATGAGGCAAAGATATGATTATTCACTTATTCCACTAGTTTAAATATGGAAATCATGCACATGATAGATTTTAATTCAATGATGACACAGAAAAGATGTTCATGATCCATAAACCACTATAGATCCACAGGATGGTTCTGAGGATCAAAAACCCTATAAACAACATGATATTTTCATATGTTTCTATGTATGTGTGTATTTTCTGAAAGGTATGTACAAAGTAAGCATTGACATCTCCTGATATCTTACCAAGATTAACAGGGAAAACTGTATGTTTCCCACATACAGTTAATAACGATGTTTAGAATAATTTCTCATTTCTAGCACAAGAAAGTGAGTCACTACCCTCATAAAACTTGACTTTTGAAGGCAAACAACTGACTCATCTGAGATCACCAGATACTCTGCACGTGCTGCAAAAACTGATAAGTTCCACTCTCATGGATGTTACAGCCTAGTGGAGAGGAAATGCTCACTCACAACAAAAATGAAAATATATTTGAGACAAAGAACAATAATACTTAAAGTAGTAGACTCTTAAATATCTTTGATAGTAAAATGGAAAGAACTTCCTATCTGTATTTCCTTTAGCAAGTCCAATATTGCCACTTCAGTTCTCTCATCAATATGCGGGGGTAGAGAAACCAAATGGTCACTAAGCTCCTTCCAGCACCGGTGATCTATGGCCTTAGAACCTTGTGTTTAACGTTCTTAAAATTGAGGCATCAAGTAACAAATCGTCATTCACCTATCTATTCTTGGCCATTGCTCT